TGGATATTGACAGTGGAAACATCCCGACACCTGAATCTTCTACAAACTCAACAAGTCAGAGAAATGTTGCAATCTCTGGAACGTTGTCACATTTTCAAAGATCCCTTGACAAAGGCTGTGTTCAAAGTCACCGACGGCTTTTCAGCTCAGAAGTGCCCACATTATCGAGATCTAAGACATTCATATACACACTTCATCATGTATTCATTTTCCAAAATGTTTGTCATGTATTATTTGTCCTTTGCTCTCTTATGAATAAAGACAATATTTCCTCTAAATCAATTCCTTTTGAGCATCTTGAATTGAATTTAAACCTAATGATTTATTTATTTTTGCAAAAGATAATCGCATATTACTGTACAAAGATTCATTGAAAAGTACAGGTACCTGAAAGTCGGTCAAGGCTCATGCATATACTTGAGATAGTCGAGAAACATCTCCCAAATCAAGAAAAAATAGAATGTGCACATCAGATTTAAACGTTTGAAGAATTCAAGATCAGGGACCAGAACATCAAGATTTCAAAATCAAGAGTCAACAACGACAGATCACCGGTGATCGAGATTCTCTCTAGAGCCCAAAATAACATATGTTGCATATAGGCATACCTGAGAGCATGATATCCATAACATCGCATGTATGCATATCTTCACAGGTTTTACCTAGAGCTAATTTCGACTTCGCAGCGAAGGATATTTCGACTTCGCATGTAGATTTAAACTTCACGACGAAGGATATCTGACTCGAGGCCAAACTTTACAACAAATGGGTCATCCACGGTTTCAACTTCACAACAACCTCACAACGAAGGGAATCTTGTCCACCCGCAACATACAATACTTGGATTTTAACTTCACGACAAAGGATATTCAAGTCAAGGCTCAACTTCACGACGAAGGAGCCATCCGTAATTTCAACTCCACGACGGAGGATATCGTACCCACACATCCACGATTTCAACTCCATGACGGAGGATATCGTGCCATTTGAGGCTCAACTTCACGACGAAGGGGCTTCCCAATTTCAGTGCCAATTTCAACTTCACAGCAAAGGATATTGGACCCAAGACAACACAAGCTCAACTTCACAACGAAGGGGCGACTGATTGTCAAATAAATTTCATTCATAGTCAATTTCAACTTCACAACAAAAGATATTAGACTCGAGACAGCGCAAGCTCAACTTCACAACGAAGGGGCGACTGGCTGTCAACAAACAATTTCCTAGTTCCATAACCAATTTCAACTTCACGGCAGAGGATATTGGACTCAGAACAATACTTGGATTTTAACTTCACGACGAAGGATATCCAATTACCAGGCTCAACTTCACGAAGAAGAGGCCACCCGCGGTTTCAACTTCATGACGAAGGGAATCATACACACAAGCATCATCCATCTCTAGATTGGATTTCAACTTCACGAAGAAGGATATCTAACTCAAAAAAGGAGTGGTTGTCAATAAACTTTCCAGTTTCAGAGTCAATTTCAACTTCACGGCGGAGGATATTGGCCTCGAAACAACGCAACTTACACTGGATTTCAACTTCACAACGAAGGATATCCAATTCGCATGCTCAACTTCACGAAGAATAGGCCATATACAATTCCAACTTCACCAACAGATTGGCATAACTTCATAATGAATAAGTCATCTATGACACATCAACACCGAAGTCTTTAGGACAAGTTTCACCTTCACGTCGAAGTATCTTGCGCCAGAAGATGATCCGGGAGCTACTGGTCAAAGCTTCGAGTTCAGTTTCAACTTCACAATGAAAGATTTCGTGCTCAAAAGTCTCCAGTTCAACTAAACCTCACAGTGAGGGAGTCACTTCGACAGATCAATCTCAATATCGGATTTTAACTCTACGACGGGGGATGTTCGATATAGATAAAATTTGTGTCTTGTAATCTTTTCTCCATTATCATTACACGACAATGAGCAAAGAGGGGCAGCTGAAGACACCAAATTTAATCCTTTGATATTATATAATATACTTATATTATAGATCTTGAACAAACATTCATGTATATTTATTTTACATATCACAGGCCCCCCAAATAGCCCGTTACATAGCCCAGCAATGCTCAGTAGTCCAGACCCAACAAGCACGTGACCAATAATAGATTAGGGTTTCTAAAACCCTAAGTATCTTCTACCCCCAGTCGCCAAGTGCCTCGACCGTTGGATCGAGATGCGATCTAACGGTCCACGATATGAGTTAGATAGGGTTTCATTCTTAACCCTTTGGTCCAGCGCCGTTCCTCACACATCCCCAACCTTCGAAGACTCATCACCGCATGCTGCTTCCCCAACAGCCAGGTTCCCTGCCGGTTTTCTCGGCCGGCAACAAACATGAGTCAAAGTGACTTATTCACAACCAACCAAATGACGAGTCAGAGTTGTGGAGCATCAAATAACCGAGTTTTACTCGGAATCAAACTCTAGAAATAGTTTTCTTTGGTACTTATAAATATGCATGTAACTAGAACAATTGGGGACGGAAACAATACCTAGAAATTGCACGTGAAATACTGGAAATACGCAAGATCCAAAGCTTGTAAACATTCGAAAGGAAAGAAATAAAGAAAGGTAATACATTTTTACCTTTAGTTCGGACGATTTTTCCTTGCATGCGTGGTTGCCTTGTTATATTTGCTCGAAAAAATAAAACTTTGGGCGATGAACCAAGTGAGGCCCTTATTTTTGAAACATTTTTTCTTAGATCTATGCATTTCCAAGGCATTTTTGAAGAAACCAACTCTGTTTTCGAGTAGATGAGGAAAAAAGCTTTTAAAAAATATCTTCTTTCTGTAACCGGCGCCGTTCAACGGCGGCCGACGAGGCTACACGGTGGCTTTTTCTGGGTTTACACGGCGGCTGTTCTTCACGAGTGAAGAACACTCAAGAACATCGAGAAAAAACGAGGAAAAATAAGGCTTTGATTCGGTTTATGAGTGAAAAATGAGGAACTTGTGTTTGGGTATTAATATATATAGTAACCCGTTTTGTGAACTGTGACCCGACCCAACCTCTTACAACCCGCGTGTTTTGAACATAAAAGGGGGGAATTCGCGTTTTGGTCCCCTTTTCTTTAATTCTTCCGTTATCACCCTTAATTTCTCCTAAAATCGATCCCCACTATTGCTTTTCAATCAATTCGATCCTTTTACATTTTTTTCTTTTTTTATTTAAGTAATATATTTATTATTATCTATATTGAATTATATTTTTTATTTTATTTTCATTTTTTATTCATTATTATTACCTTTTTTATTATTTTAATATATATATTTGTATATATATTTTATATCTCTACTATATTTATTATTATGTAAATATATACTATCAATATTTTTACACGTTTATTACTTAATTATTTCTTATTTGATTATTTTTTATATTATATTGTATATATGCTCGTTTTTCTTCTTCTACTTTTTACTTTATTTATCATTTTTTTATTTCTTGATGTTCATTTTGTTATTGTATATATATTATTACTACTTTATTTATTATTTTATGTTTTTAGTTTTAGTTTTAATTTTATTTATATTTTTATTCCTTTTTATTTTCTTCGTCTTTTTATCTTTATATGGAATTCCTTATTTTCTTTATCATTCTCTATTTTATTTATTTTCATTTTTTCTCTAACTCGTCTTTTGACTTTTAAGGGTACATTTCAACCAATCTATGGTAAGTTTTGGATCGTTATATTACCTTTTAATTTAAATTTACAAACTTCTTAATTAAAGACAACTGAAAATTACATAGTACCAAAAGGGCAATTCAAGGGTGCTAACCCTTCTTTGACTGTAACTGATGCAGGGGAATCCGATACAGATGATGATGAGCTGTCAGATTGCACCTTGATGGCGCTGAGATACCATGAGTTGGTAGATCAGCGCAAAGGCGAGAATTGATTGTGATATGTTCCTCACTGGGGCCGTTTTGAGTGTGTTTCAGTCTTTTGGCCATAACTTTGGCTACGGGTGTTAGAATCGCGCATAAGACCCCAATCCGGAAAGCTCTTTTCGACGCGCACGCTGTCCATAATAAGCTATGCTCCATGTGGCCTTTTTTCGACCTCAAATTTTGTCGTTTTCCCCTCCAAATCACTAGATTTAGATATTTTTTACTATTTATGGTAATATTTCGATTGTCAATTAGGAAATCATTTTAAATCCGATTTCGGCCGGATTTTTTGCAGATTCCTTATTTTATTTTGAATTTCAATTTAGAGTGATTTTCGGGATTTTGCTATTTTTGGTAAAATTTCGATAAACAATATTTTTTGTTATAACAGTCCGGCTTGTGGACTGATTTTGATTTAATAATATTTTATTAAACCCTAGAGACTTTTTTTATCTGGTTTTTGGGCGAATTTTCTCTTGTGAATCATTTGCTGGAACTAGCCTGCAGGATAATCGTTATTCTATCTAGCGTCAGTAACCGACTCCCGAATTTGACATATCACTGGTAAGACGCAGATCAGGTAAGAAAGAGGGTATCCGTTCAACCCATTTTAATAAAATAAATGATCGGTGGCGACTCTAATCCATTTTCCTAAGTCGAAGCTCAATTCGGGCCCAACCGAAAGACGATTCCGACAGCAATGAATTTAAAAGTATTTTTAAAGATAAACACATATGTTAATAATATAAAATTTTTAAATAAGATATATATAAATAAAATTTTATAATAAATATCATTAATAAAATAATAATTAACAAATAAAAACTTCAGATGAACAAGTGTCTACTTCAAGATGCTGTGGATCCGCCACTGAACACTGTACAGATCCAACAGAGGGGGCAAAGTGCAAGGAAGGGACCCACAGTTTCCGTACATGATCAAGTGCTAGGTCCAAATTTAAGGTGCCCAGACACTCAGCAACCCACCAACACTCGCATCAATTTCAATAATATTTTTGACCAAAAATCATCCACCATCTCTCTCTCTTTCTGATAGAGATTCCGCACCATTACCATTTTCTTTCCATATTGGCTTTACGTATATCATCTTCATGATGGAATAACAAAGTAGAACAACAAGAAGAGAAAAAGACAATGGAGAATGAAGAAGAATTGTCCTCAAGGAGGCCATCAATAGGGTTTCCTCTCGGTTTAGCCCTTCTTTTGCTCTTGTTATTCTGCATAAGTGCTCTTCTTCTTTGCTATTTCAACTGGCACAAGCTTCAGACTCTTATCTTTGGATCATCCGATCACGACGACTCCGACGACGATATTGAATCAAACGTCGTGGATCGTTCATCAGAGTTTCAAGATTCATCTCCTGTCATGGTACGGTAATTTTTAACTCCCTTTCGTATTCTTTTTACTTGCAATTGTTGTTGAGCATTGTTGTATTGATATTTGGGTATTTAAAACAGAAGCCAAAAGAAAAAACTGTAGGGCAAACCTTGCTGGTTTTGATGGCAGGAGAAAAGGTCCCAAGGTTCATAGCAATGGCTTGTCCATGTGAGCCACCGAGAACGGCGAAGATTGCCATAACAGTATCGAAACCTCCGACTGCACTCTATTGATGATTAAAACGTCTTTACTATACATCTCATGTTCATCATTTATACTGATCATTGTATATTTTTATGATTTAGAGCTGTATATTAATTGTCCAAGTAATTTACCACATATCAATGTTTCAAACAGTCAAGAAAGATGTAATTATTATTATTTTTTGGGTAAACTATGCCAATAGTCACTGATGTTTGGGTAAGTTTTTGTTTTCACCACTAATGTTTCAAAATTACAAATCGGTCACTAATGTTATCGTTTGTGACAAATCTGTCACTAACGTAATCGTTTGTGACAAATCGGTCACTAACGTTATCGTTTGTGACAAATTAGTCACTCGTCGTTCACAGTCGTTAAGAGGTGTCACGGAAAACACACGTGGACCGTTAGCTGCTTACCTGGATGGTTTGACCGCCACAGTGGAGAACCTCACTTCTCCCTTTGACCGGTGTTTTACCAAAAATTTAAAAAAATAATTAAACAATAAAATGGCAGGGAAAATAAAAGGGAAATCTAATTCTCTTTTTCTTTCATTCTGCACTTTCTCCTTCACGATAGAATCATTTTCAGAGAGTTACAGAGAGTGCTTGAGAAAAATACGGGAAATGTGAGGAAACAAAGAGAGGAAAACATAGAAAGTTAGTGATTAAGAGAAAAAAATGAGCAATACTTGGATATAAGAGGTGTTCGAAGTGATTGGGTTCGAGGAAAATTTTAGGGTTTAAAGTGAAGATGGTACTGACATGGAGGCTACGGTAAAAAGGGGACAAGCGTTGCTTTACAGTAAGCTTCATTTTCAGTTTGAGAGAAAAAGGTAGAAGCTTAAATTTTGATAGAAAATTGAATGGGGTTTCTTTGAAATAATGTTGATTCTTTTGTTATATGTTTACAACATTACTGATTTTCTGTAGATAGAAAATGTATGTGGTCATTGAAAATTTAACTGTTAGATTTTCACATGTATTTTGAAATGATTTTTTGAATTGGTTTTCTTGACAGAAAATGTATATGGTCATTGAAAATTCAACTATTAGATTCTTTTATTATATGTTTACAACTTTACAACTTTACTTGCAATGCTTTCTGTTTATATGACCACTTTTCATGTTGATATATATGTTATACAACTTTACAACTCTACTGGCAATGCTTTCTGTTATATGTTATGTGATTTCTGTTGAAATGTATATGTACTTTATATGATCACTTTATATCCACTGATGTATACTCATGCATGCTATTTTGAATGTTGGTGGTTTGTGTTATGTTGTAAAGGTTTTGACATGTGGGATATGTTGAATGTTGACTTTTGTGAAATATGTGGGATATGTTGACTTTTTGGTTTTGACATGTTTGTATGTTGAATGTTATATTTGTAACACCATCACCTGCATACCTTTTTGTACACGAGATATAGATGTCACATCACTTTTAAAAAAATTCTTCCTTTGTAAACCTGTAAAAAAATGTTTATTTTTTTAAAATATTTTAATTAAACTAATATAAAACATGCATTAAACTTAATTACTAACAAAAAGTATTATTCAATTGTTTCATTATTTTACAAAATGGTAAATCAAATGTTTTTCAGAGCGTTTTTACGAAATATATTACATGCCAACTAAATACATCAAAATTAGACATTATGTCATACTGTTACTGACGAGGCGACCCTTGCTTTGATGTCCGATAATCTCTTTACTTCGCTTGTAGTAAAACCTACGCGTGAAATTAACACACGCTAAAAAATTTCTTAGTGATGCATAAATAATCATAAGAAAAATTCTAAACACAATTATATCATTTCAATTCTAATTCCTAGTTATTCTTTCAATTCATTAAACACTCTATAGTTTACACTAGTAGTGCTAATACCGTTATTTCTCAACCATTACTATAATCTACGTGGGTTGCATACCCACTACCAATACGAAAATTCACCTGCATAGTATGAATTTCTTAGTTTTGCACACATAGTGCCCATACAAAAATTCATACACTTGGTATGAATTTCCTAGTTTTGCACACATAGTGCCCATACGGAAATTCATACACTTAGTACGAATTTCTTAGCTTTTTGCACACAAAGTGCCATTTGATAATCACCATACATATATCAATCAATCATACATTTATGACTACCATACACATAAGTACCTACTAAATGCACTCACCTAGCTTTCCTCGCTTTGGTATCCAAAACGTAAAGCTGATTACTTGGAACTTGGCCTTTGCCTTTTGCTTTGCTTGACTCGGGAGCTTGATTTCGATCTATTCAATATCCATTAAATATATGTACAATATCAATTGTTAGTATATTTGCTAATAATTACACTTAAACTGTAACGCCCCAATTTAGGGGCTAAATTTTAGAATTATAAAGTGGTGGATTTAATTGGTATTTTGTAAGAAAATTGAGGATTAAATTGTAAATTGTAAAGTTGGCAGACCATTTTAAGAAGTGTAAGAAGTTTAGTGACTAAACTCATGGTTTACCCATTTTTCTTTTTGAGATATTATAAACCCTATGTTCCTCGTGTATTTTTGCAGAAATATTTTCAGTTTCCCTCCCCCTTCAACCCTCATTTCAACTTTGATCTACTCACCGTCCGACGTCCGTTTGACGAACCGAAACCACCATCGTGTTCGTTGTTGACCGATAAACAAAACCCCTCAAACCTTTCATCGTGAATCGTCGTTGTGAATTGTCGTCGTTAATTTTAGTCGAAAGTATCGTTGGTTTTTAACTCGATTTCAGTTGGTTTTTTGTCACTTCACGACGATCCGGTCACCCATTTTCGACACCTCCCGTATCATCGTGTCCCTTGCATCGTTCACATCCACTGGTGTCATCCGTTTCTCTATCGTCGTCGGCGTGTAGAGGGGTTAGAAAGTCAAAGTTTTCGATGTTTCAGAATCGAGCTCTCCGCCGTTCAAAATTGTGAACCGATCTTGGTAAGTGTCTCAAAATGCCTTAAAATAATTTTTAAAATTTTTCGGGAATTTTTCTGACACCGTATCACTGTTCACTCACCACACGTGTCGCCACTGCGCGTAGGGATGCTAATTTTGTAATTAATTTCTCTTAGGGTGATATTTATGTAAAACTCGGGTGTTAGTTTTATAAATATTTTAGAAGGTGGATAAATTTGTAACTAATTTCTGTTATGGTGATATTTGTGTAAAATGGTTGACTGTTGACTATTGGCATGCGTTGACTGTTGACTAGAACTTTGACCGGCGTTGACCAGGTGTTGAACGACCGTTGACTTTGACCGGGTATACCTATTCTGACGTTTTTTGACGTCTTGAATCCATTTTTGGGGTCTGTTTGCCAAATTTGAACTCGGTAAATTGGTTTTCACTAATTAATCACCCAATTTGATTCATTTTTCGGAATTAGGCTCTATTTTTTATGTCATTTCTGTTGATATGCATCTGAGGAATTATTGGAAGATGATTTCAAGATCGATGGCGTTTGAATGTAATTTATATGGTCGATCAGTGTGTCACAAAAATCGAGGAATACATTTCTACCTCTTTAAGCTTTATGGAACATGTTGATAATGGATAAATACATGAATGTATATGATTAGACTATTATGCTTATTTGATTATGGATGGATTCGAATCGAATATGTTTTAAGCGATAAATTATGAGAATACTTTGATTAGGTAAAATACGAAAATACCCTTATGTTGTAAAAAGAAAAGAATTGACCATGGAAGTTGGAGAAGAAGTTGTAAAGACATATTGATCTGATGAAACTATTGATATGCATGGAAATACTAGTTTTGCTTAGGAAATTTGGATAACTGGTTTTTAACCCCGACAAAGTTTGTGCAAGATACTAGAAGTCTGTTAAGGAATCATTTCAAGATCAGAGAATGTTCGAGAAAGCAATTGATCATAGGATCTCTATATTATAATTATTTACGTTAATAGTTAATACCGAAATTATCCAATTACGAAATTACGAAAATGCCCTTGAGAGGTAAAAAATAGTCCAAGTTGACTTTGAATGAGAAGGTAACCTGAGAATTTGTACTTAAACCGATAAATTACTGATTTAATGGTTGAGATCCAACTTTTGTATGGAAAATTCCTAATAATTCGTTAGTAATGTCTGAAAATACTTTTAACCTGAAAATCTCCGAGTTATGAGTAAATACCTGAAGAATAAATTATCGAGGGTGCTATTTTGTCAGAATTGTTCGAAAGGACTGGAAAAGATGATACATTTGAATTAAATGATAAGATCAGATGGAAGGAAATGATTGAAATACACTGGATCTGTAAAATGACCAAAATACCCCTGTAATGGAAATGACTCAAGAATATTACCAAGCCCAGGAATGAATGCATATCTTCAAGCTTTGAAATATATGGGAAAACATTGAGTACCAAAAGGATCAAAATACCTTTTTGGCCAAGAATTAATATATGTTTTGGATTCATTAAGGAATTTAAATAAGTATGGTTGTGTCATTGCCTTAAAAAGTTATGGGAAACACCTTATGCTGGTCGATCAATGATAATACTATGTCAGTACTTGAATGGCATAGATATCACTTGAATGCATTTGGATTAATAATATGTTTTGGATTACTTAATTCCTTTAGTAGTCAATTTATCTCGGTTACTTTAGAATTTTCTAAAGTAATTCAAACGTTTCTAAATTTTCGGATACATATAATACTTCCACTCAGTTCAATATAGTCTTCGTGGTTGATTTGTCTAACAAATATCCACTTCTTAGTACCAAATGCGTTGTAGAGTTGAGATGGGATAATTACTTACAGAATTATCATCAATCCAAACTTGAAAAGACGAACATAATATTAATTCTTGCATAATGTATTGTCTTTATGGTAACGAACTATGAATCAAATACGTAAGCATTTCTTGATACCGTTGAAACGTGGAAATAAAATAGAGACTATTGGAGGATATATTCAGCGATGATTCTGTAGATGATCTATGTATATGCATATTGATATTAAAGAGTTA